ATATATATATTACATCGAAATTTGGTAAAACAAGATATATATTTCAAAGAACATAGTTTTAAAGCATTCTGCACACAAAGTCTCTACGTGACAGTCTCTGTACATATGGAAATATGTACATAGGCGTTAGAGACATTAGGTATACAATATGTCATACAATGTGCTCCAAAAGGTGGCAGTTTCAAAATTTCACGAGATTTCAAATCGACCGCTTTATCGTTCGGTCTTCGATGATTAGACCATCACCTGAAGCTATCCTTCATGTTCTCATAGATTTCACCAGGCGGTAGTTTCACAGAAGGCATTTTTTCCTCCACAAAGTCCAGCCCAACGCATACGGCGTTGTCAACATATTTCAATGGCGTTTCCAGAGTGTCGGCAATTCTATTAGTGACCGGGCTCGCAAAGTCCAAACCCGCGCGCATTCCATCCTCAGCGCCGCCTAGTACGAACGCGACCGATTCATGCGAATCCTTCACGACGGAGTAGGCGTTAGAAAAAGCTGATCTCACGGTGGCGAATATCGGTAAACCCAGCAGGCGACACGTGCATACCATGCTATGAGCGTTCACATCGGTGTCCACAGATGTGACGTTCACCGGAGCGGTTGGATCATGTATACCATATATGATGCTCAATTGCTGCGGGAATAACAATATAATGACAAAATACGATAAATATAAAAGCAAATCGCACAGTATAAAGAATGCTCAATGTATAGAAACAAAAATATATACAATTTTACATATTTATATACATATTTATACACACTAAACATAAATCGAGAAGAAATTGTATGCAAATCACTTGCGTGCAATTAAATAAATCATACTTATTACTTTTACGTACGTTGTTTTTTATTTTAAGATTATTTAGTTTAAATACATTTTAATACGATTCAGATATTTAGATAAAAAATTCATAGAACATGAGAAATTGAAATAATTTTCTGTAATGTAAAAAACAATTTATATAATAATAAAATTTAGTATCTAGCAAAATTATAATTGTTTTTAAAATTTACAAACTTAATCTTCACAAAAAATAAATAATAAATTTGCACCGAATAAAATAATAATTAGTAAATTCAACTTGAAAATAATCATAATTCATAATCGATTCACGTATGCGATTTGTGATGTCATCGAGCCTGAAATGTCAGGCGTAAATTGCCATGACAACTCGCAGTTGGTTTGCATCCAACATGGTACTTAATAAGATTTCATAATGTTACGATATCGCAAAGAATTCCTTATTAGACTTCCCGCAATACAGTGTTGCGAATAAAGACCGTAATAATGACATTGCAAGCCTGGCACGCTGACGGAAATTGACATGACAATTCATAATCAGTTCTTGTCGAGATGACACTTGGGCATATAATGGCAGATCGTTGATATTATACGCACATGATATGCGATGCGCACGATACTCGAGGATCTCTCACTGATCTCGTGCGATGCCTCGGAACCCGTCATCGCTCTAGCCAGACACCTCAAACGAGACTCTCTCTCTCTCGATGTGCAATGACGAAAGACAACTCGGCCGAGATGTCGAGCTTCACACGTCGTCCGCGACTCCTAAATTTAACTCGCTGGTACTATCTCTACCTTGATACTGCTTGATACTTCGTGTTGTGTCGGTTATGCGCCTTCGGAGCTTTTCATCGATCGCGTCATGTAGATACACGCGCGAAATACAAAGTGTCACAGCAAAATTGACACAAGCGATTAATGTGATACAACATACAAGGAACGCCTACAAAATAAATAATACAATAAATTTGTGTCTTCTTCATAATTTATCATATAAAAACTTATCATCGCTGTGTATATCACTGCGTAAAAAAGCACAGAGATGGTTTTATATTTATTCTGACAAAAAATGCCCGTAATTCGAAAATAAAAGGTATCAAAGATGCCTAATGTAACATATTTGTATCATATCTTCCGGTTAAAGGTATATTAAACACTAGATTCGTAAACGACTATTTGTACGATTGGCTTTTTCGACGGTGGCGCAGTCGCAGACGCGGCAATGTCGCGCAATACTGCCTCTACGGCTTCCTCCCAATCCCGGTCCTTCGAGCCACCTGGATCGATAGACGAAGACCATCTCAAACGTGGCATGGATATGACTGTCAGCACTTTCCTGAAATTAAGATATTCCTCGTCATTATTAATTCTTTTATGAAAGAGAAAAAATTAAATTCTTTTCAAATAAATCCTTTTGATCTTTTCATTACCAAAATAATAAAAGATAACATTATTATTATACAGAAACATTATTTCGTTTTCGAATAGTTTTCCTATTAATAAATTTTACACTTTCTGCTAGTAAAAGCTGAAGCAATATAAAGATTGCATACATACTTTCTGCTAGTGTCAAGATTTTATTTCAGATTATAATAATTATAATTTTATAATAAAAAATTCTACTTGTCTTGAAAAGAATTAAAGAAATAACACATACCTCAAGTCGGAATGTAGCGCAGACATGTCGCCACCCGCTTGTTCGCCGAGTTTTCTGAGAGTCTCTGCCAATGGACCGCTCAGTCTTTGCAACCCTCTCCAAGATTGAGCGTATTGTCGTCTAACAAGTTCGATGATAGTACTGGTCAGCGCCAGACCGACCAAGATGTACAAGGTACACAATAAAGTGTATTTGGGCTTCTCTAAATAAAGCCAGCATTGTACACAGCTAATTAAATGAAATTTCGCGCAACAAATTTCGATGCAATCTGCTTTACTCAACTGTCTATGTTTATTATCATTATTTAACAAAGTAACACCTTTGTCTTTTAACCAGTTCAGGACGGACGTACTATATATAGTAATTCGAATATCTCGAGAACGGATTAATATTTTTTAATGAATAAAGTATCATTTTAATCAGGATTTTAGGCTCTACATTTTGATCATCATCACCCATTACTCTTGTATGTCATCACCCATTTCTATCATACTTGCAATTTTCGACTTTTTAGGGTCGCGTTCGCTTATATAGTCATTTAATAGAATTCGAAAAATTTTTCTTAATTTATTGTTATTGTTGAGAAAAAATAAAAATTTTATTGAGAATAGTATTAGAGAATAATAGTAGAGAATTTTATTGAGAATAGTAAAGAAAAAAAAACATTAATTTCGTTGATTGTTGAAAAAAATTCGATACATCATATCTTCTAATTGTAACGTCGGGCTCTGTGTAAGTGATTGTTTTGAGGTTTATCACACAAAAACAAACTTTTAGTGCATTATTTACTAAAATCATTATTTCGAATAAAAATTTAAAAAAAAAACCTGTCCTGAAAGGGTTAATATTCTTCAGTCGTTCCAAATTAAAAGGACTAAATTTATAATAAAATCCATTCAGAAACTTTACATTAAAAATCAGTAAACATTACTAACTATATTTATACATCTTTCAAGAGCTTTTCGCTCTGCATATACTTACTCGGTACAAGATCACCAAAGCCTATGGTAGTCATAGTTACAAAGCAGAAGTAAAATCCATCAAAAAAGTCCCAATCGTCCTCCCACAGCATAAACATACCGGCGCCGCAGGCGAGATACAGGAAGAGCAGCCCGACAGCGGCACAGGCACCTGAAAAAAGACTATTATTTAGATAAAAAATCAAATTAAGTTTCCGAGCAAAACTCACCGAGCGATCGTCGACCAGTCACGTTCGTCGGAATACATGAGAGATTCATAAGAAATGGAAGTTTTGATTTCATCGTCAACGCGATATGCACCACCACTTTCGCGAACAGCTTTCCCAAATCGGCGATCACAATCAAGGTAAGAGGTATGCCGATGAAAGCGAAAAAAATACAAAAGATCCTTCCCCAGTTGGTCGAGGGCACGACGTTTCCATATCCTGTTAAATATACATGTAACAATCACTGTCACAGAACAAGTAAATATGGAGATAGAAAAAGAATAGAAATCTTTAAGGGGATCCTGGAGTCGTCTGTTTTACCGATTTTTTTTAAAAACACTATACTTTTTTTTGGCTATGTAGAATGAAAAATCCTTTTCTGTAATTAAAGTACATATGCTAATACAGTCTGCACTGTCGATTTAAAAGGATTTTTCATTCTACACAGCCAAAAAAAAGTATAGTGTTTTTAAAAGAAATCGGTAAAACAGACGACTCCAGGATCCCCTTAATGTCCAAATTTAAAGTAATCAATAGATATATCATTAAATTAGTGCACTAAGAGTAATTTCTACAATTGAGACAATTCTTTTGAATAAAACAAGTCTACACCATCTTTTCAGGAAGCAATAAAATCCTTGCTAATTATTAGAGCTGATTACCAATCGTAGTAAGAACGGTACTAGCGAAGAAAACCGCCTGAAGAACGCTCCATCGTTCAGTGACAACGGGTGGCAAGTCCGAGTCGACACGATCAGCGTAATCAATAATATCCGTTACAAAACTGACCAGTAAACCAGCTTCCGCCGCTTCCTGGACCATTTCTTCATAGACGCGCAAATTCATGCTGATCTAGAAGATACGAGTATTATTTGCATGAATGATGATAATTGATAACAGTTGCATTTTATTGCCGATTCTCACCAATGTTTGAAAATTAGAGACATCGGTATTATTAGCGACGGACTCCACAAAGCGATATCTTTGCGTACGTAATTTCGCGCGTAAACGCTCAAGTCGCCGAAGCTCTGCTGGAAGTTCGATCTGTCGAAAAACCTGAAAGCATGTTTAATATTATTTATTTTTACAGAACAATTTTATATTAAATTTTATGCTAAATGGATTGATCTTATGTTAAATCAAGTGGAACATTTAAATATTTATTTAAGTAGCTTGTGATATATAAAACTAATTTTCAATATGGACATTAAAAATGTTGGAGACTATGAAGAGAAATAAAAATGTAAACATATCAGTATCTATCAACATTGTTTAAGCAATATTATATTATCATAATAAAAATGAACAATTCATTAAATGCATATATAGATATATCGCTATTGAATCTCTCAAGAATCACATATTTCAAGGGGGCTAATGAAAAATAGCCGCTGATGTATGCATATTTATCGAGTAAACCTATCCATGTTTACAAGGATCGTTGATGTTTACTTGCGATCATTAATAAATTGCATCAACTCTTAATGCCTGTCGGAATTAATGTCTGATTTATTAGAGTGCAGTAAATAAAATATTTGTTCAAAAATAGCCTCGTAAAGAGAGAAAATATTGTTCTTAATTATTATAAATAAATGTATTATTATAAGCAAATTATCTTGTATATAAAATAAAATAACCTTTGCCAATATAATCAAATTATCATTCATATAATCATTCATATAATCGTTAAAATTACATAATTATGTTGTACATCGCATTTGTTGCTTTCCAAATTTTTCTAACGTGAGAAAATTAAAAAACGCAAATATGGACCGAATTTATTAGGAAGGCGATTGAAATATGTCAGCTATTTTTGTGCTACGTTACAATGCCCTCGAAAATCTATAATCATGGAGAATTTCAACGCACGGTATTTTTACCAGACTTCATTGAAAGGCGTCAGTAGTAATATACTTCCTACCGATATGATTGGTCCGCCGCTAAAAATAAAGGTACGATTTGATAGGCTACAAGTCCGTTCGTTATTGTATAGAATGTAAATATTTATGGAACATCGAATACATTTAACTCTACGTTGGAAATCTCGATATTTCGCACATGAAAATTCAAAAGCACAAACTCGAAATATCATCGGCGCACTGCACTTATTGTTAGCTTCTTTTGTTTCATCGCGTGTCTTATATAATCTGATGATCTCGAATTTTCCGAGTATCCACAATTAAACGAAAATTAATCCTATGTTAATTAATTACAAATTAATAAAATATAAATAAATGGAAAGCATAAAGTAAATTGTGTTCAGCTATTCTTTTCAAATTTATTTGTTGTTAGAGATATTTATATGAATTTCAAAATCAATCTGGTTTCTCGAAGACAGTAATTTTATGGAAAATCTATTCCTGGCTGTTTCTTCTTATTATTAAATTTGAATTAACAATCTTTGATAGAATATGTCTTATCTTGAAACTTACCAGTCCGCCGATTACAGTGTAGAGCGTCAAAGTGATCAGCAACCCCATATGACCGGCAATCGTTTTGATCTTTCTCACTGTTTCCTTCTTGACAAATCTTTTGACATCCTTACTGTCCGTTGTGATACCTAGTTCGACAGCTGAATTGCATTTGTTCTCGTTTGTCATTTCGTTCACGTCCGCGTTTTCCACGAGCGACGTAAACGCACCGACCACTCGGAGAAGACTGATTAGCACTCTGCTCCGCAATTTCTGAACACAAAGCCGTTTTGCATTTCGAACTGCATGCTATATATTGTAGTCAAAATTAAAAAAAATAAAGAATGAAAAAATAAAAGAAATGCAGAAAAACTTGTCTACCGAATATTTTCGACATCTAATTTTTCTTAATTTGAAGAAAAGAAAATATTTTTTGTAGCTTTTTTAGAAAATAAAATTTTTATTAAAACTCTTATTTTATCTAAAAAAATAATTAAATAAAATTTTACTTCTAATCATCAAAATTATAAGTTAATTTTACGTTTCTTGCATTGTTTAAATTAACTTTTTGTCGCTCTTAAGTTACGTGTAGAACCAAATTGCAGCAAATTGATATAATTGATATAATTTTTGTACAAGAAAACAGAGCTTTAAAAAAGAATCAAACTGAAATAATTCGAAAAAATTTTAACCAAAAAAATTTGATATCTTATCTTGTGTCGATGAAAAAAGAAATTAATCTTGTATATATTTTATATATATTATTTTATAAAATAACACAACTAATTAATTCTGATTGGCATTTTGTTATATGCTACGTCAAATAATAATGAAAATTAATGTTATATTATATGTGAGCAATGCAATAATAATAATAAAATGATGAAAAATAATACAGGCCAGATTAAAGATAAAATAAATGTTTAAATATGATGTATTTTGTCAATAAAATAGAACGAGAAACAAATTGAAAATATGCGAAGCATAGAATGAGAAATAACTAAACTACACAGTTTATATATAATAATGCATTAAATATAAGTACTATATTGTTCACAATATTGACCAACCGCAAATCAGTTAATAAAAATTCAGTCGGCGAAAAAGTGTCCAGAACATAGTATAGTCAATCAATTTATTATCTTGCGTCCATGGACGCAAGAATATATGGACGGAGAGTAAGCGAGACGGGTTGAAGCCAGAGAAGCAAGGGGAAAACTAGCCAACCAAGATGGCGGCTACGGGTAATTAAACGAGCGTGGAATTTATAATATATGAATATTATTCATAATTATATAATAATATATGAATATTATTCAAAATTATAATATATAAAAGAATATATAAAAATAGAGGTAATAAATGAAGTATGTGTTTGTAATTTAAATAACCTTTAAATAACCTTAAGTAACCTGTAAAATCGGCATAAAAATTGAATTATGGAGAATTTTTAATATATGAATAATATAAAAGTAGAGATGATAAGTAAAGTAATTGTAATATAAATATGTAAAGTAAGTAATCATATCTAAGTACGTTTTATTGATATGTTTGTTACAACATTAAAATATTTATTAACTTATATAGCCTTAGTGGCCTTTAAATAAGACAACCTTCATAGCAGCCTGCCTGTCACTTAAAAATTATCTTTAGTAATAGAACGCTCTATTGAATACAACCTAACGTTAACATATTTATTTACTATTCGCTCTAATTAAGTGTAGTACACGACTCTCACGGGCCGTTTGGCCCGTGCAATGATGTGATAAATCGTGAAATACGTTTTATTATTCCTATTTTATTCCTTGTTACCTTCATGCAATGCCTGTTTGAATCCATTGTTTCATGCTTTTGATATTTAAAATATCAAATAGATCATTTATCAATCTTATTGTTCTGATTGTTGGTGTACAACCTGCAAATTCGGTAAGCTGCAAATCTGAATCGCATATCTTTAATGCATCTGCTACAGATGTACTGAAAGTCTGTGCAGCGAGCTTAACTTTCATTTTTTGTTTAAAAAATAAAATATGCCGCTTCCTAAGTTTGTTACCTAAATATAACTTTTCCTGTTCTTGTAAATTGTTCAGTTCGACAAAGTATTTCCACTGAATTAGGTTGTCCTCGTCATCAACCATTGATGAGTATTCTGCAAGGCAGTTGCGAAACAGCTTCAGCACATGACACAGATCAAACAATATCGCAACTGGTTCCTCCGAGCTGGAATGTTCAAGATGAGTCTGAAAGGACGTTATATTTAGGTTGCATCCTACTACACATACTTATGTTTGACGGCGCACCATCAAACGTCACGCTAATTACATTCATTTCGTGGTCGTGTAGCAGTGTCAATGCTTGCAGAACAAGGTTACATTTCTGTTCCGCATTGACGTTGCAAGAAAATATCCAATAGAAATCTTCCAAGACCCGTTAATGCAATTCAAAAAACTAAAGCTTGGGTAGCTATTTCTCCTTCACTACATTCAATATCAGGCCCCATATCAACGTAGCCACTAACTTGTGACCGATATATTCGACATGCTGCCTTATAGCCATTTCATCGAATATTAATGCACCAAAAAGTGGATATTGTATAGCTTTAGCACGATCTGCAATTGATTTTAAAGCTTCTGCATGAAAACCTGGCTCAGCATTTATTGTTCGGTACCATTTGCTCAATGTCTTCGAATGGGGCAAACAAGTATCGAATGTTAAGCGGACGTACGTATACGCTCGCGGTGAATAACAATAAAGAGTTAGTTCAAAAGATCCTAATTCAGGACTGAATTTTTACGTCACTGATAGCTTGTTAGTTTTAGCAACCTCACGTTTCAGTAAATGTTTATTAACAGTATCTAAATCCTTCAGTACGTCCAGTTGTTCGGCACCAATAAGATTTTTTTTACACAATGCAGTTAAGATGCTTTGCATATCAGCAATACGCTTCTCTTTTCTCCGCAGTTGCTGTTGGAGGCTCTTGATTTTGGATTTGTAGGTTGACTTCATATTCTCCAAAACAGTTCTCTGAAAAACTTTCCGAGGAGTATTCTCGCTGAGTGACGGCGACACGATGGTTCCTACGCTGACTAGCTTTGGTAAGTCGACTTGCTTTGGGGTAGTTACTATGGGATAATTCTCCTCCAATGCTGCTTCAATTTCTAAACAATAATTGAAAATCAATAATACTTAAACACAGTATTACTCATATGTGAACATAAAAAATAACAAAGTAATCCCCTGCGCACCAATTTTGCTGACAAAAATTTTAATTACAATCATAGTAAACAATAATACCATCCAAATGAAGATAATATTAATCAAATTGGCTTACGGCCATCTACAAGCAAATAAGTTATAAAAAATATTCCGCATGTAGAACATTTTATGACGAGTATACTTGGCATCGCTCTCAGAGGGATTAATCTACGTAAACATTCTGACAGCACATAAAAGTACTGCTTCAACGATTATAACTTTCGATGTGATTTTCTGTATAATATCGCCTAAATTACTTTCATTATTACCACTTTTTATATCGATGTCCATGTCTAATTCATCACTCTGTTGGACCTGTTGATTCTCAAAATCCTCAAACTCGCATTTTATGAATGGTACCTCACTCGTATTACTCGTATCGTGTAGTAGCTGTTCCATTTTTATCGAATGTTGTTCCTCCACCCGCTCACTATTGGTTTCGTCGCAACTGCTTGTCTCTGTAGGAAATATCTGAAATTGTACAGCTATGCTATTTACTTTGTCGATTGAATGAATGATTGAAAGATATTACGAGTTTATACAGGAGTTTTTTCCATGTCCGTAATTACGAGTTTTCCTCACAGTAACAGGAATTTTCACCGTAACGCACATAACATCACAAACATTCTTCCTGTGTCTCTAGTTACATTAACAGGTAAACTCGGGAATATACGTGACATCCGTATCTGATATCTTTAACCACACTGTTACACATTCTGAAAACTGTTGAAAATTATTACCTTTGGAAGTGCATTTGTTCGAAGTCTAATACAAGAAAGAGAAGTTCTGTCCAAATCGGCGTTGTCAAAGTGCAGGGAACACAGGTAAGCATGTTGAGATACATAGCTAGAACCTAAGCCAACACGATCCAGCCACACTTTTCGTCGCTGTGTATCTTTTGGAACTCTGCAATCATAAAATTGCATAATATTAAATTATATATATTTAATAATTGTCAATAATTTCTGTCAAATAATAGCAATAATTTTAATAATAAATAATACTTACTTGTGAAACGAAATTTTTCCGTGCAATTTTTCAAACGCCACTTGACTTTTATTTTTCCACCTGACCGCTGTTCTGCTTTTACAATTTTTGAAGCAACAGTTCGGCATTTTGCTAATTATTTAGTATCGCTACTTCACCTCCAATTTTGATAAATTTATGCTCACTCGACGCGTTTTTGTCTAAAATGAAAGAATTTCGCAGAAAAAAGTGTCGCTCTACCCCGCGAAGCGAGACATTAATCGTTAAAATTGACCACTTTTCAGGTTGTCATACCGATAAAACATAGCGACATGGGTATGCGGTGCAATCACGCGCACATGCGTTGTCATAATATTCAAACTTTCACGCGTAAGCGGGGGAAGGGTTCTGCCCCCTGCCCCTGCACGACCGACATAAAAACAATCCCTCTAACCTAACCTAACCTAACTCTGACTTATCCTTGGATTAACAGAGCATGCGCGCGTGACCGCGCGCATATCTATGTCACTATATTTCGTCGGTATAACAGGTTTCGTAACCTGAAAAGTGATCAACTTTAAAGGCCATCACACACAAAATGACATAACTGCATATGCATAGCATAAGACCGTCTCGACCAATGAGCATGCTATGTAAATCAATATGGCGCCTTTATGCTAGATGTTCATTGGTCGAGACGGTCTTATGCTATGCATATGCAGTTATGTTATTTTGTGTGTGATAGCCTTAAGGGCCTTGATTAGTCCATAAGCAAATGCATAAGGAAATGGACCAGTCAATTTCCTTATGCATATGTTTATACGACTGCAAGTTTGTCTGGATAGGCTCTTATGCGTATGCCTTATGTAAAAGTCTGTGCTCCGGCCTTAAAGTTTGTTCGTGCGCAATGCTACAACATGCTCCTACTCGCTTCAATATGCTCCAATCTATAGTATTACGTTACTACAGATTGGAGCGTATTGGAGCGAGTAAGAGCATGTATAGCATTAGGTCTGTTCTTTATAGCTGAACTGGCTGCACTAGTTCAGAGTTTATCTTTCTCCTTCCAATGTGGAGGGAAAAAGATAAACTCTGAACTAGTGCAGCCAGTTTAGTTATAAAGAACAAACCAATTGTGACGCGACAAACTTTTAAAGTAAGTTTGGAGCACTTCAGTTATTACTTAGCCCATGGTGTTAAAGTCATTTTACACAGCTGTTCCACAACATAGATAACCTAAAACCGATTAACATAACGCAAATAAAAACCAGCATAGATTGAAATACTGATGTTTCTTAAAAACTTTCTTTTATTCATTATAAAAACTGAGTTTTCCTTTTCGGTGCAGTAAGTACAAGACAAATACTTTATTAACTTTGGTAACATTGTAATAATTATTAATTCGGTACTTATATATACATGTCTAATATGTAATTGTTATCTTATTATTATGTAAAAGAATGTTGAAAATAAAAATTTATTCTAAATATCTAATTATTTAGTTTCTAGATTTAGATTTCTACTTTAATCTATGTCAAGTCAGATTTTCTTAACAAAAGTCTTTTCACTTTTAGACTATGACGACTATAAAAGTGCACGGTGGTATTGACATTTTAAGGCTGCCAGTGAACGAAGAGGAACATGTTTGCCCTCCATGGCGTATCAAGTATACGCAATCTCATATACTTCATTCTAAGTGCTCCAAAAGTGAAAACGGTTGTGGTTCCGAAGATGCAAGCACCTGCCAATTTTGCATGTATATAATTTGTTAAGTGTTAACTTGTATATTGTAATATTTAATACAAATACTCAGAAATTATATTTAAAAATGCAATTCTTAATTTTTAGGTATAGTAACACATTAGAATTGCCACATATGCCAGATATGGTATTTCCTAATAATGTGCTGTCTTTGGTACATCAGGATGGACCATCACTGAAGTTCAATGCTTTAGATGCTCTGAAATATGTTTCCAATGGCAAAATTAATGTGCAGCTTGCTTGTGCAGAAGCGTGGAAAGAATCTAGGTATATGAAACTATATATGCTTTTTTTAATAATTACTAATAAAGTATTTAAATATTATGTTGTTACTAATAAAATAATTAAATATTATATATAAATTTTCTATTCATATATATCAACAGATCGGAAAGCAGCGAATATCTGGAAGAAAAAGTAAAGCCTTTTGATTGGACATTTACTACTGATTATACTGGTACAACGTGTGGCTTTGAATTGGAAGAAACAAATGAGAGAATTGATGTGGATAAATTAAGGCAGAGAGATAAGATTCTGTTTTATCATGATTTAACACTGTTTGAAGACGAACTTCATGACAATGGTATTGCAGTGAGTTCAGTGAAAATTGTAAGTTATTTTATAATGAATAACTTTGTGATGACATATGTGTAATGAAATTAATTTGGTCCTTTGATCAAATTTTTGTGCAGAGGGTTATGCCCAGCAGTTTCTTTATATTATTGCGATATTTTTTGAGAATTGATAATGTGATGCTAAGAATAAATGATACTCGTGTTTATCATGAATTTGGTAAAGATCATTTATTACGTGAGTTTACATCACGGGAAGCTAAAGTTCAAGACATTAAAGTAAGTAAAAGTCATTAAAGTAAGTAAAAAGACATAACTATTTTCAAGTTTTAAATGTTTAAGATATTACCAGCATAATCATTTTTGAGTATATGAAAGTACTAATTAAAGTCAATGTTAAAACATTTTATTAACATCTAATATTAACATTAATTATTATAACTTTGGATATTATTACCAGTCATTGTTTAAAACTGATAAGTGATTAATAAAGAATTTTTTTAATATACTACTACAAATAATATATTCTAATTTGTTATATTACTATGAAAATTTAATATATTAAAATAAAAAAAAATGTTATATTTTTAGGTTCCACCACCACTCTTCCTAGAACCAAGTAAAATAGCACCCCATTTACCATTAATTACAAGTCATTATCACAAATTGATAATACCTGATATAAAAAAAGAAGCCAAATTGAATGAAGATACAACTGCGCAAAGTAAAAGTACGGCTGAAAAAACAATAACGCAATCCAATGAACACACAGCAGACAGTTCTATCACTTAAGGTTTGTGCCCAAATTTCTGTGTTACGTAAAACGTTCTCTTGATGAACATATGTAATTAAAAATTAGAAACGCAAAAGAATTATATTACTTTTATGTGAAATCTATTTAAATATCAAGATTCTGTAAATTTCAGTCTGATTTCAGTCTTATCATGATTGTCGTTTTAATATAACGTAATTTCCTTATTTGATTTATAATAAAGATTTTTAAATAAAAAATTGAATTAACTTGTTCAATGATTGTGATATGATTTTTAAGTGGTGTGTTATGACCTTTAATCTTGAACACGAAAAGTCATATTTAAGTGACAAAGAAATAGAAAAATAGCAAAACAGGAAATGAGAAATTTATTTTATTAAATACTCAAATTAATAATCGTACATAATTTTTAATCATTCTAAAACTTACCTTATTACATTTTAATTCTACCAGTTTGTAAAATCTATTTAAATATTTGTACTTATAAATAAGAGGAATGTCATTTTTAACGGTTATCATTGTTATATATTTCCCTACAAATAAATAATAAATAATAATAAATTCCAACAAATAAAATAAATTTTTTAAAATATTTTGTAATGCAATCACTTTATTTAAATAAAACATTCGGATTATTCTTAACATTTAATTTTATAAAATACTAAATTATCAACTGATTCTTATATTTGAATAAAGATGTATTAAAATTTCAGTCAAAGAAAGCATTTTAGTAATCAGATAAATTAAATAATCAATTCCTCTTTCAGCAAACTCAAATTTCTCTTGTCGAAAAGGTAATATCTCAGTCAAGTCGGGATCTGTCCATCGTTCCCTGGTATGGCTTGACCTTCAGAAGGTCACGCCTATTGCACGTAACTCACATACCAGAAATCCTCTGCGTTCCATTTCATAAATTCCTCTTCATAAATTCAAGTTAGCGGAAAGACCTTTCGTTAATACGCCATTCTCCACGCTAAAAATTTTGTAAAAAAAAAACTTGCATGTTTATACGAATTAACCGGTCGAATTTAAAGAAGGACATTGATTGTAAACTCACGAATGTTAAAGAAAGTGTAACTGTGTCTTAAGTAAGACTTTTGACTAGATTCTGTATGAAAGCTTCAAGCGACATATTTCGCCATCACCGTCGTATCTTCTCTCCCTACAACCAAGTAGAAAATAAATATCAAAGGGAAAAGAGAAAGGAAAGAGACTGAGAGGACCGATCGGCTTTTGGGCTGGGCCGCCTTCCATCGCACGGTGGTGTTTATTCGCGAACGCAAAAAACTTGGTTGAATTCCATCGTATAGGTTGGCGGAGAGGCGAGGAAAGAGAGGAGAACGAAGAAGGAGGGAAGGCGGAGCGAGCGGCGCGAGTGAAGAGAAGGAAGAGACGCAACAAGAGCAAGAAGCGAAGAGGTCGTCGACGACAGCAATCTCTCGTGAGTAGGCTTATCCCATTGCCTCCATCCCACCTTATAGCGCTCTCACACGCTACCAGCGGCTGTGCGTAGGTGTTTCCGGCCGGCTGAAGAAGCACGGCCGTCGTCTGCGCCCGTCGATCCAGAGGAAGACGGCCGAACCGTGATAGAGAGAGAGAGAGAGAGAGAGGGAAAGGAAGAAAGAGACAGAATAACGACGAGGTGGTAGCTAGAATGGTATAGGAAGAGAGCTAGAAAGATAGAGAGCGAGAGAGAGAGAGAGAGAGAGACAGAGAACATTCGGCCGGAAGCAGTTACTCGCGCGATGCAACGAAAATATCAGGGCGTCCGTTTCGCAATAGGTCTGCCCGCGTCCGCCCGGAGTTTAATATAGAACACTCGCGGCCGGTCCCGTCGCGAAAACACGCTGACGTCGACCGTGTGCGAATTCCTCCTCTCTCTTTCTCTCTCTCTCTCTCTCGCTCGCTCGCTCGCTCGCTCCCGTTCTCCGTTTCGGTCTGCCCAAGAAAAACGTCTCCTTCTTTCCGCTCAGCCGTCGTGACTCCCGGCCTTCTTCTTCTTCTTCCTCCCTTCGGTTGGACGCGCGCAACGCGGTCCCCTAAAATTAGGTCCGTGTCCACTCGCTCGGCGCACTGTCGCGTCGCTGCGGGTGACATCCGCAAGAGCTGAGAGCCGGACTTGTCGAAGGTCTTTGTCCGTGACAGTGGTGTACTCGTGGCGGCATGCGGCGACCTTTGAATAGCGGGAACAAGGTGCGCGGCACCGGCGGCCACGTTAGAACGATTCCGCGCCCTTCCGTTCTTCTTAAGTGGGAGAACGACCATCATCGTTTTGTAATCCGAAAGGAGACGGCGACTTGTTTCAGTAATTTGCTTTATTCGCTGGTATCTCGATCATCGTCACTTCAACGATGCTTGAAAACGAAAGAATGGGAAGGCCATGTTATTTCGCGGTTTTTTATTTCGATACCACGAAATGAAAACGGCTAATATCGCTCTCGGTAATTCGAGATCGACAGGAAGCGAAATCTTATATGAATTTCCGAATTTTATTTCAACACTTCGATGTCATTTGACGATGCTAAGGAGCGAAAGAATAGCAACGTTATGTCACCTCGCGGGCTCCTATTTCGACACTTTGAAACCAGATCGATGTCATCCTGCAATTTAGCAATTAAAGAATTAGAAGAAACAAAGCATATATATATATATATATATATATATATATATATATATATATATCATATTTTTTAAATCACGAATGAATATTTACCTCAACAAGATGTAAGAGATTGAAACTAAATAGAAGAAACTTGGAACATTATTTATCCGAGCATAAAATCGCCATCTAAATATTTGTTTTTGCAGTATCTATTTTATTTTTACAATTTTTCTCTTTCCCTCCATTGCTGAAGCATATTTATATCCGAATGCGCACATGCGCAAAAGCTATATAGCGCGTATGTATAGGACAACGCTGCAGAAAGAATAGACCCATTGATAATCACGCGACGACTCCCACGTTTTATTCGAGCCCGTCAATTGGGACGAGTGGAGGGGGTCCGCCCGTATGATTTTTACGGTATCTCGACATCGCGCTTTAAACGCGGAAATCCATTGTCGACGTCCCTCGTAATGCCTTGATGTCTTTTGACATGCTTAACGAGTCGCTAAGAGAGGGCAATCTTCCGTTGTTGCTGCGTTCGTTCAAGCGTGGAGGAAGGGATAAGTAACAGCTCGGCGAGGAACGAAGAGCAGGACGAGATTTTGGAGGGGGGGAGGGAATGGAAGAGGGAAGCCTGGTACTGGCTCCACGAGGCTTCGTGGAAGACGGCGGCGGAGAGACGAAGAAGGAATGTCACTTCCGGTCACATGACACCGCTGGACCAGCCGGCCGCTTTGCTCTCTTCTTATTTTCGGCTCGTCGCGCGCGTCCGGACCTTTCCACGCCCCCTTTCTCTCCTTTTCGTTCCATCTCTCTCCTCGATTAACGCACGGCATCGCAAATCGGTTACGAACGAGACAAACAAACAATGGTCGGACGGCTGTGTTTTTTCGACTTTCGTTAACGAATTCGTTACTGAATGAAAACCTCTGGCGGATAATCTTCAAGACGGTGCGCACCTGCGAATATCTCACTGGAATACTGACTATTGTAAAAAGTGCCGCTGTTAAAATAGTTGATAAAAAACGCAAGAGAAGTAACAAGGGAGATGTTTCATCCGTTAGAGTTAATTTTCGCGTCGTTTTTACGGAAATCTAATATTGGAGGTGAAAATTTGCCTTAAAGAATATCCATTTTGACTTGAGCGAAGAATTAATTTTCACGTTAACGGGTAGAATGCGCAATGCACTTATCTCAGTATCTTGTTTCGAGTTTGTCTCTTGGGGTAATTATTAACCACGCTCGCGCGTAGTATAAGATGTTGTATAATCCTGCCGTTAACACTTCTTAACAACCGCTATCTCGATTTTATCCCTCTATCGAAGGACTCGCAGCCGCAATGAATATTACGGCAAAACTGCGTCGTGCGCCCATCCCTCCCCCCGCCTCTCTCCCGGGCTAACGGGCTTACATCCGTTCGCTTTCTTCGCCGCGCGCCGTGGTGCATTCAATTGCCCGCTAATGATGATCTGGGACTTCTCTGGTAACGATCGTCTTATCGATCGGCTGCAAAGCAAATACGCAGAAATGAACTCCCGATGCGTCGTAACAGTCGACAGCGAAAGACTTTTCGCGTCGGGAACGCTTTATCCGAAATCTAATCTTAGTATGTCATTGTAGCTGCGTAGCTCTGAAAGAACGGAGAAAGATCTTAATCTAAAGAATCGAATTGTCGGGATAGTTAAATACTTTCACGATAGACTTCTGCGAACATGCTGAATATATAAATGCACAAGTATATACATAGTTTATGCATGTATATATATATGTATATATATATATATGTATATATATATTTACAAGACATATACAGATCGTATAGACTTAATGTTAATAAAAACTTGTTTTTTTCGCTTGGCGAAACACATCCGCATGCGCGCGTACGATCACACACCCACATACAATATACACAGCATACACACAGGCATGCCCGCGTTCCATTCACGCCTTCATATGCTTTCACGGTTTCGCTAGTCGATCGGTGCGCAATCACATTGTCCTCGAACGTCTATGCTTGGATCGCGGTTTCGAATCGGGTCGAACATAAATCTCGTTCATCTCCCCGATCAACGCACATTAAAGGAAAAAAAGAAACGTGAGATAGAATATTACATTGTTATGCCTAATATATAAATCTCGATTTATCTAAAAGTAGATTGAGTTAAAATCGAAAAGAAAAAAAAAAAATAGAATCGGATAAGTTATGATTAAAATTGGTCGCTCGAGACCTAAAAATCTGTCGAAGAATGCTTATGTCGATCGAGACATTCGTTCGTTCATTCTTTCTCGCTTTGAATTCTGTAAGAAACGTTCTCTGAAAATGATTGTTATCATTAACGGCTTGCGAATCGCGAAACGACAAAAGGCTATTAATCGTCGACATTCGGTTTTCTCTCGTCACATTCGTCGTACATTAAAAACCTCATCATGTTTTCTAACAATGTTCAACACTGAGGCCATAACGCTCCTTTCGTGCTTTCCTTCCTCTATCACGTCCGTACTGGTCTTATTATTCTCGTTGTCTTAACGCCCGCCCTTCGCAAGAAAGGTGAGCGAGTTATCGAGAGAGAGAGGAAGAGAGAAAAGAAGGAGAGAGAAAGAGAGAGAGAGAGAGAGAGAGAATATCGAGTTATCGTTCGAGATAAAAATTGCGTTCGCAAACGATTCTATCGCCCTCGTTCATTTATGTACACGCATACACGTACTTACGTGCTACTTGCTACTAGTTGTGTATGATTCCAAAATATGTTTGCTTATATACGAAATATACTTTTTGCTCAACGTTTCGATCGGATGAACATATTGTTTTTCTCAGATAATATCGACCAAACTATCCTCGCACAATCTTCTAGTTACAATATTTCGTCGCAATCTTCTGTAAATATTCGAACCAAAAAAAAAAATATGGAAGAATATTTCATAGCAAGATTGAAAGTAAGAAAAAGACGTATTGGAAATCGGAGTAAAATTACGTGGAGTAATGCGAATAATTTTTTACTTTATTCCCACTATTGCAGATAATTTCACTTCGAGGAAGCGTGTGTCAAATTAAGATCATACAACGATAGTTTGCTTGAATCGCGTGCTTTCTCTCCCATCAGTCCGCACGACATCGCTTCTCAATTCGGTCTTCGTCCATTTTTGATTATTTATCCATGCAATCGGCCCAGTTACATCCGGAACATTCGCTTACACACAATCATACACCCACGTCTTGCGCTGAAATGCTAAAACCATGCGAGCCATGCAATTCCACTTGGATCGATTGCTTTCGATTTGCGCGAGGCTACTCCCTTCGAGGAATATCGCTGAAAGAGAATCAGTCGTCGTATACGAATATTCTATCGATCGACCAGCGCAGACGAGTTTTAAATGGAGAAAAATCACCGGCGCGCAACAATATTATTTAACACTAGAATCGTTGTACTTTTCGCTGTCAACACTGTCGTCTTTCATCTCTTGATCCTCAAAAATGATGAAAAACACAAAACTGTGAATTTTCTTCAAGTAATCTTACGCTTTCGATAAAAAATTCATACTTTCACACGTGTATAGCAGTTTGAATTTTTTAAACTTGGTGATTCTAGTGTTAAATCACGCACCAGTCGCACATACGTGTCGCGCTATCTGATGCTTCTCGAGAGAAAGAAAGAGAAAAAACTTGGTTTGTGATTTATCGGCGAGGTAAGCGAATGCGAATTCAGCTGCAATTTTACCGATCTCCAATCTCTATTTATAGCGAAACGAAATTATCGCCGAGCCGGCGAACGGGGATGAGGGGAAAGGGCTCCCTCTTTCTCGCGTCTCCACTCCCGCGCGTACACGCCGCATGGCCCATTCTTAAAAGACAAATGCTAACTGAGAAAAGAACGCACGCAGGACTAGATAATACTGGAGAAAACGAAATGGAAATGCGAGACCTCTCGCCACGATCTGTACCCTCGTCCCCCTCCCCCCACCTTCTTGATATAAATCTATTTTCAACCAATATGGCTCTTTTGTAACGCGCTTTCGACGCCACTATCTGTAAATGTTACGCGAAATGTGTCACGTGACGTACAGCGCACAAATTCCCCCTCCCTCCCCCCCCCCCCTCCTCTCTCTTTTTCTGCTCGCTATTCCTTCTAGCGTCGGAAAATTTTTATCGCGGTCCTCACTCAGCAGTCATATTGGTCCATGTGCACGCGTCATTGGTACATTTTGCTCTTTATGCTCCCTTCATTGTTCTATTCATTGTCTTTCGCTCTATCATGAACCATACACTTAGCGTTACAGCCGCAAATAAATTAACCGTAGAAAAGTTTGTTCTTTATACAAACGTAATATACAATATACATTTCTATCTATCTATATATATTTATGTATTTATATATATAATATATTTTAGTTTTTTTATTTACTCTCTCTGTGTATGCAACTTCCCCCCCCCCCTTCCCTTCGCTACGGACCCCCGGATATATTACCATTCGTTCGATTTCGCTCGGCGCGTGGTACAATGCGTATAATTCATTATGTATAGAGTTATCTATGCGTAAATGGTATGTCTGGACGATACGCTTAATTCGCGTACCTCGTTTTTCTCTACCGTTTTCGCCACACAACGCGCATGCAACCCACAAAACACAAACATACAGGTTCTCGCTCCTTTACATACTTTTCTCCCCCCCTCTCTCTCTCTCTCTTTCATATACAGGTTCTCGCTCTCTTTTTCGCGCACCAACACGCACACACACGCACGCTTTTCGTTCGTGGAAGAATAATAAATAAAGACATTCGCGACGTCAAACGTACAGGTTCGTCAAGATCCGATATTGTTCTCCTCGACTTAAATGCAACTCTTGTACTTGATGCAATTCACTTTTGCTCCCTCTGATCCCACACACGCACACACACCCACATCACACACACACACACACACATACGCACACACGCGCGCGCATGCACACGCGCGCACGCACGCATACACACACACACATACGCACACACATACGCTGTCCGACACGTCCGTTAAAACGGTCTCTCCTGTTTCCAGGCTAACTCGATCCGATCACCGATCACATAGAGGACACGCGACGTACTCCTCCGGCAGACAAGTTCCCTCGCTCAGAGCTCCGGCGTGACTGGATCCAACAGCCTCTTCTCCGGATCCCTCGAGTCCCCGATGTCGCTAGAGATGGGATGATGCCTGCCGCTGATCGTACTGGGATTGCATCGGCAACCTTGCGCGGCGTGACGCGTGTGACATGCCTCGCAGATGGTGACACAGCCGCGGAGCGGCCAGTAGCACAACAGACAAGGCATTATAAGTGTGAGGGCGCCCAGACAAGCCCACCTGGATGCCGTGCGGTTGCCGGTGCAGGAACACGGTTCGTCCGCGCAATTTGTCGCCACGTCCTCGCCATCTACATCGCCGGCGACGGCGCCGCCGCTGCCACCGTCCACGCAGTGGTAGAAGAGACCCTTGACGCAGCACAAACAGGACGCGTAGTCCAGGACGGTCTCGGCCGAGCAGAGGCACGTGTTATTACAGAGCCACTTGCTGGGTAGCGGGGGTGGCTCCCGACACGACTCGCAACGGCATCTTCGACAGAAGTCGCATATGATGGACAGGCTGGTCGAGTCCCTCGTGCCGAGAGTATTGGCCGGCTCCTTCGTGAAGGACACCGGCTGTTTCGTCACGGCATTCACCGCCGCCGCGTTCTCCAGCGGGACGACGGAAGAAATGTCGGTTGCCGCGCTGTGTAAACCCTGATTCCTCGCGCGGCCGCGCGTCCAATGAGTAGGCACCACCGCGTCCTCGTGACCCCGATGATGGTGATGATGGTGATGGTGATGGTGATGATGATGCCTCCTCTCGTTCTTCAGACAGTCGCCGACGGTCTTGTTATCCGTGTCGAGGTGTCGATCCTGCTGATTGCAGCACGAGTGCTTGAACGGCGCCTCGACGTACTCGTTGATGGTCCTCTCGCCGTCCGGTCGCGGCGCGGCGAGGGTCACTTCGCCGACCGGACTTCTCGGCGACGACGCGATCGTCGTCGCATCCGTCGACAATGGCGACAACAGGCTCCTGGAATTTGCGTCGCCCGGTGACGACGCGTCCGCGTTCTGCGGACGACGCAGGGACGACCTGCTCCGGAAGGAACTCGATAATGGGGTCAGAGGCATAGTGAGGGGCGCTACCCGGAACGTAGGCGTGCCGGGCGCCGACATAGTCCTCGCGCTCGACGCCGACGGGGGCGGGGGTGGCGGCGGAACGGACGGCACCGACGTCGCCACGTGTACGAGCGGTAACCGCGGCGGCGGAAACGGTCGACTATGATCGTGTACCCGCGAATCCGCGCTTTCGCCGACGCCGACACAGTCATCGTTGCCGGCGACCAAACAACCGTCGGCGACCGCACCCGCGGCAATGTTCGTTCGCGAGAAAAGAGGCCGCGAGGGCGGCGGTATCGCATTGTTACGCGACATCGGCCAACCGCTCAGTTCAAAACGACCAGCTACTCCTGGGCTCGCTGGCGTCTGCGGATGACGCCGCTGCCAAAGATCCTGACACTGCTGCTGCTGCTGCTGATGCTCCACCTTCTTCGTCGCCTCCAGCTCCTGCCTCTCCTCGATCCGTTGCTCAAGACGGACACCAGCCACGCTGGCTGGTCCCCTGACTCCTCGATCCGCTGCGGAGAACAATCCTCCTGATGCGTTTGTTGCCGTTGCCGTTGCTGCTGCTGCTGCTGCTGACAATGACGGTGACGATACTGCGGCACGACTACCCGTCCAAACCGGTGTCGTCCGCTCGCTAGCCCATCGTTCGACGGTCGTCGACGGTGTATCTGGACCCGATGGACGCTGATTTGACGTTGGGATAAGTGTCGCCTCGGTAATCCGCACTGCCCAGCCCGCGCGAGGTGGTGGCACTCTCGACGAGAGCGTTCCATTAGCGAGGATGGGGCTTGGTAATGCTCCGCGTCCGCTTCCTCTCGCCCTCGCGACACGCGCTTCATCCCCACCTAAAACCACCGCAACCAAAACATTGTGTTACATTCGGATATTCTCCATATAGGTGCAATGCGTAAGCCGCTGTAAGACTGTTTATTCGAGAACCAACGCCATTTTAAAACCAGTATTATTCCGCCAAATATCTCCTCCAAATAGTTGCATCGTAGAAACAATCTTCCAACGTATTCGGATATTGATTACGCCAAGTAATTCACTTCCTTAATTCGATACTTTCCATTTCCTAATAACGGATTTACGAATTGTCGGAAAGCAGAGAAATCGGAGTGGCCGAATTACGGCGACAGGGCTTAGCGAGGCGTCGGGTCGGCACCTACGCGGCCACCAAGAGGTTCGGTTTCTACGTGGGCGAGCGCGGTACGAGTGGGCCGCGGAGTTCTCGATTCGGTGGTCACCAGCCCACTCGCAGCGCCTACGGTGTGGAAGAGAGCCTTGTTCGAGCACGATCGATCGCGTCCTCGAGACGAGCGTGTGGCGCTTTTACTTTGACTTGACGTGAAATTCCGTGCTTTCCATTCGGGTTCTTTCAACATTGTCGACGGATAAATCAGAAACGAATCGGCTAGATTGAATGATATTACGCTTGTCGTCTTATTCGCGTGTCATCGAGCGAGATTTATGAACTAATTTTTAATTTGAGCAATAATTGATATTTGTAGAAAAAATGCAAGCGTGTGAGAATTAAGAATTTACAAAGATGAAAGGTGAAATAAAAAATTTTGAGATAAACAACTCCACGATTAAGAGTTCAAAGTTGAAAGAGTCGAGCGTTACTTGCCACGAGCAAACTCTTGAATGTTCTACTCGCTGAGAGCCACTCCCGAGTTACGTACGTACGCGCGAACCTGCATTCGAAATTATGTTGTTGCATCGATTATACGCCATCAGATATGTGTGCGTGCGTCGCGTTTGCTCATTCACCTGAGTCGCGGCGTTTCAGCGGCGTTTCAGCGGCGTAATCGAAGAACAGCGTAGTTGGATTTAAGCGCGGTAACGGGCTCTTAGCGCGTTCAACTTTCAAGTCGCGTTTATTGTGCGTTCTGAGAATCGCGTGCATATCGAGATCATTAATCGTGGATGTTCCACGAGTTTCCTTCGGTTTCGTTTTATCAATCCGCTCTACTTGGTCGTCCTTCTGAGGCGGCGCGCGTGCGCATGTTTCGAGCTCAACACGATTATATCGATCTCATTCGAAATCTCGGGAGCACCGGTTCCGCTATCTCTTGGATCGGATTTAACGTTTTATTTACATTACCGCGCACTCGTAACCGCACGATATGTTTTATCACCGCAGCAATGAGTACATACCTCGAGTATATTTGAGCGCGCGGCTGACTCTTTAAGAATTCCTACAGCGAAATATTTTAAATCGTGGGAAGATCTCCGCTCACTACGGATTCAATTCAATATTTCGCTATAGCGAAAAAATAAATCCTTAAAGAAACGCAAATATGCCTTGATCCAAAAATATTTTATCCTTAGAATAGCGCTTAAGAAATTAGCTAATGGCTAGAGAAAAAAACTTATTTTGTTAAATTAATCTTAACAAGCTTCTATCAATTTTTCTATTGGCGGTCTTGTTGTCGATGATTCTATCTGAAATGTCTGTAATTCTTGTGCGATTGATTTATTTTATCTGAAGAAACGCTTACCTAAAATAATTTTTAATTCGGGATCCTCGGAATATATATGAATACTTCACGTACCATTTTAACTATTGCATATATTTCATATTATGTTATAACTGACGGAACTACATTATATATATATTTTTTCTAACAATATAATTTAATACTAATTTTATCATTGATTAAATTAAAACTGATGTAAATTTGCATTTATTTATAACCAACACTGACTAGATAGTTCTAAAATAACATCCATTGTCCAATATAAATGGCAAATTGTCGAAACGAAGAAATTTCTCATCCAGTAGTAATAAAATTTATTATCATTGGAGTTATTTCAGTTTCTTATTTTTTACTATTTATATCAAGTCTTTATCACTATGGAATAAAAATTTATCTAATAATGCAACAGCTAGATTACAAAAACTGATCATAAATTTCAGCTAGTAATCAGCTATATTCTAAAAATTTTATTTAGCTATACTAGCTTGCTACTAGTCATTATATAAGATCGGCTAGTCTAATTTCTACTCGGGTATGATTTGTAAAACGATTTTCAGCTGTGTGCGTATGAGCCCGGTCTGTCGCCTGACAGCTCTGCTGGCGCGAAAACAAGTGAGCTTCGAATGTAAGCGAAGCTCTCGAGTAATTTTCAATGTAATTTTTAATCCAAGATTAAATAGCTTTCGAATTATGTGATTATTATAACCGTATAACGGTTTTAGAAACAAGAATACCATCTTGAGGACAAAATATATTCCACACAAATCTATCTATTAATGATGCGAGTGAACATTTGTAGCTGAAGAGAGCATTCCATACTCAAATAAAGGCAAATAGCGTTCAAGAATAAAAATATACATGAGTTAAGAATTCATTTTTTCTGTATACGAGAACAATCAATCTTACTATCATTTAAAAACGCATATAGAGAAATATTTTTTTATATACACGGAATTATGCTTTACAACGGTGGCAATTTTCAAGAATCATAAATCTCACAAAATCCGGGTTTTTTAGAATGAAAGCTTTAACTCATTATGAAATAATTTTTCTCTGAAATTATTCTTAATTCGATTAAAAAAATGATCTTGAGAGATGTTTTACAATTCATAATCGTCTTAAAATTTGATTTAGATCTTTGCGAGGACAAGCTATTCAAACGCTAGACGATGTCAATAGCAGTTCTCGCCCGTTGCAAAACGGCGTCGAGCGATCGTAGTGAGAAACAGGCGGGCCATTCAGAAAGGGTGCGCTCGGAGTGGAATGTGCGGGCCGGCTATCGTCGACCGACTGCCATAGGTCAAAGCTTTTAGCCGCTCTGCACGTCGACCATCCGCGCCATGCAGATAAGACGAGCATTTCGCGAGCGAGCGCGAGAAAGCGGCCGGTGCGCGACGATTGATTTGCCTCAATTGTACGATTGTACGATCGGAGATGCCGTTATAATTTCGCTAAAATTAACATTTGAGGTTACGCAAAAATATATTTCGTTAAAAAAAAAACCGCATTGATTGACTCCAAGTACTTGCACTGATATAAATAATGAAATTTATTATGATGCTTATAAGTACATATTGAATGTTATGTTGAATATAATAAATTTAGAAAATTAATTTCGCTTTTGCGTGCCCTGAAAGTTTCGTGTAACGGTTAAACATTCATAATGCTCATATTTATTATTTGGAAATTTTTAACACAACCTCTCAGGATTTCAAAAACGGTATTCTGGCCTATCAGCTTCGAGAATTCTCTCGGTAACAATTAAACGGATATCGAATCGATTGTGAATCGTGCTGAAGCATGAAAGAAGTTCGTAGAAAATTTCCGGTAAATGAATCGATGACGGAATGATGATTGTGCGGATAACATCCGCGTGCCGCACGTTTATCGGATTACTAATACGCGGATATTGTTACATTGTACAAAAAAAGCAAAGATATCACTTCACGGCACTTTTAAGACTCATAAATTATTATAAGCCAAATTTTTAATCGTTAAATAATCAAACAATTATTTCTGAAAAAAAATATTTTTCTATAGAATATTATTGTTTGTGTTTTTTCTTTTTAGTTTCGTCCTAAATTTACACATATCATGTGTATATATTTTTTACAATAATGTAAATAATTACAACCCTATAAAAAAAATTAATTTATAATAGCAAATCGCATACATCTTTTTTTTATAAATTAGACACGAGGATAATTCTACTGACACATGGAGTTATGCGAATATTATTCATAAGCTGATATATATTCATGAACCAAGTATTTTCTAATTTTAAGTCCGAGCGAAGCGAAAAGCGTGATATTATGTGAATGCACGCGCACGAGTTAGCACCATCGCGCGGCATAAACAGTTTTTAACGCTAGTCGGAAACGTCCACGATAAGACCGGATAAGTCCTTCCTCCGATATCGGTTTCCTCTGCGGTCTAGATATGTATAACCAGCGAACCGTAGCACTAACAAGTTATGATTATGCACAGACAGAAAAAGTCTAAGAAGAGAGATAAGAATTTTGGTATATTTACGAAATATAATTTTCGACTATGAACCATAATAATTCTCATGGAGCGATATTATCACGAAATTTTGTAAACCGCGAAAAATCCGACAGACGTGATAAACTATCCAGTCTCAAGCGAAATAGGTCAAAGCATAATTCGCAAGAAATATCACAAGTTTGAATCGAAAATATTACGTAAACGTGGTATAAAAAAAATATAAAATCTTAGAAAATCTCATAGATTAAAATATCTAATTCATTTACAGCAATATCTAAAATTTTGCAAATAACTTTGCAAACTACAAACTTTTAAACAGGATAAAAAATGTGTAAATCAATTTTAAACATGTTGAAAAATTGTAAAAGTTTAAAATGCAGAAGCGAGGACAAAAACTATTGTCTACAAAGAATTATGTGTGTGTAAAGCTATATTATAAATTTCATAAAATTGCGTTTCAATGCAGATTATATACTTATAGTGCATACTTATGAGATTAAGGTGGGCCTTATGGATGCGTGGATTCGCTCTGTTTATACGTCCGAGCCTGTTATTTGTCATCGAGATTAGTCAACGGCTAGAACGTCGCATAAAGCTCCTTTGATACGAGCTTATGAATCTCGACGTTTAATATAGTGGCTTTTAATTCCGTTCGGAAACGAGTGCGATAAGACCGGATACGGTTCTTCCTCTCGTTATCTGTTTCCTCCGCGTTTCAGATTCATAGGCAGCATGATCCGCTAACGAGTTTCAATTACGCACGAAGATAACGTACGTCTTTCTTTTGCACGCCAGTCGCTATTGCGTGCATAAAATTGCGTTGCACGTAAAAACTCGCGGAATCTGTAAATTCGCAGATTGCCCTCTTGTTACGCATATTATAATTAGAATTAAGCACGTTCGAAACAAATCAGTTGTTGATTTTAATTTTCATCCTCGTCATATGACACCGTCGTCGTACGACACTGAGACTTTGGTGACTAATTGTAAGTTTTATAGATTCTCTAGGAAGCACCGATGTGTGTGTGTGTGTGTCAATTAACAATATATAAGTGGCTCACTAAATTAATAATTTTTAACTAAATATCTCGCTGTACTATTTATTATGTAACTGAGAGTATGATTTAGAATCACATGTCAGACATTAATAGTACTATTTTAGTTACAATGTACATCGTAAAATAATTAACGAGCTAATTAATTAACATGTCTTCATTTATTTTAAAACTAACTTCACACCTTGGAAACCTCTGTATATGTACAACTTTACAGTCCCAACTTCGATATTAGCGGATGTAGACATCCGGTCTATAAATAGCGATAATGAATTGATCGCGCGAGAAAAATAGAGAGAGAAAAAACCTAGTTATTTATTAAGCCTAGCTATTTATTTAAAAAATGCTAATAGATTGATATTTTGATCGTTGTCGACTGGTTTATCAGACGTATTAATTAGCGGGTTCGGCAAACTTGTAACTCATCCAATTGTAATTAATCACACATTTCTCGGATTTATATAGTAAAGAAAAAAAATTGTGAAATTATTTTTTCAACTTCACAATTTGTTCTTTAAGATTAACATCAACACTATGAAAAAAACTTACTGAGAGTTCATAGGACTAGCGAGCGGCCAGAAAAGAAGGTGGATTCCGCCGTGACCGACGAAACTTGCCGGGAACAGCAGAACACACTCTCACACACAACCACGACGATTTGGAGGGCAAGGGGAACGATCCCGAGGACACCCGCGAGAAAACGTTCCCAAGATCGAGGAGTCCCTTGAATCATCGTCGAAGATTCGGACTGCTGCTTCGAAGCGACGACGGTTGAACCAGCATTCTGTCTCGACGTGACACGGTGACGGCATCGGAGATGAGCCTTCGTCTTCGAGGAAGAGAGAGAGAGAGAGAGAGAGAGAGAGAGAGAGAGAGAGAGAGAGAGAGAGAGAGA